TTGATTGTTTCAACCGGACGAGTTCATTCGGATCCAAATGCAGAACAAACAACTTCTGGTCGGCAACCTAAAAATGTGTCTCACGCCAGTTCTCAATCCCGTGCCCAAGTCCATGTTTACTCGAGCAAAGTCCACGTTTGACCTGTTAAAAGATGACGGTGTGACTTTGTCCAGCTCGGTACGTTGATTTCCTAGCGTCTATTTTTCGCCGGGGAGAATCGCATAGGTGAACTAAATGACTGGCTTATGAGGTTTCCAATCCTCATATCATATTAATTTTACCCTGCAAAATTGATGACCATTTCCGACGCTAACACAAATCTAAAGAAGAAATAGATATTCCTTCCTGTTCTTCAAACTTCTATGAGGCACTCGTGGATTATTATACTCAACGCAACCTTGCATGATACCCACATGGGACTGATGCAGACATAGATGTTATTAGCCAGTGAAGCTTGTAGTAGAATGCTCTGTGAGTACAGAAAAGCACATATAAATCGAGATCTGCAAGGGAACAACTTCCTCACCATCTCCTTTGGTTCTTTATTGGTCACACTCGAAGCCTTTATGACAGGGTTGCTTCTGTTGCTTCATTCTTAAGCTTGGAATCCCAAGTTGGCGTGTGCATGCCATTTGGTGAAGATGCTGCATCCCTCATCACACCATCCTTTTCCTCTGGGTGGGAAGCAAAAGAACAATCCTTTGCTTGGTAGCTGAGATCTATATATAAACCCCCCACGTCAGTGATCATGATCATATCCAAGAACATGAATTCCCACCTATATATGAATCAGAAACATATCCTGGTATATATGTGGTGAACTAGTTATGATTGGGCTTCAGCGTTGCATCTAATGATGGTTGCTAAGACCACTTAAGATGCCAACAGCAGTCCTTGGTTGACTTAGATCAGCGTCCGACTGTGGTTCGAGATGAAATCTTCATACAATAATGGAAAAGAATATTAAGCTACGCATGCATATGCATAGAGTCGTTAGAGTTCTCATCATGCTTACCAGGAATATTGTTCAAAGTTGAGGTAATTATGGCTGTATGTGGAAGGTCATACTGAAAGTGGACTCCAAGTCATAAAACTGAAGGGGATTCCTTCTTCCCTCTCGCGTATATAAGGAGCCATGAAAAGCATTTTGCATGCGGTAGTGAGATGAGTGCTCTTCTCCCTGTTACAGTTCTCTTCCTCTCATGAGAGTTGAGGGGAGTGTCGTCTGGTTCGAAGCCATCAATGAACAGACAAAAGAGCACCCTCTCGATCGTTCTCTCTCCCTCGAGGATGGTTTCGGACCAGGCTTCATTCCCCCCAACTCATGGAAATGACTGTTCTACAATCTACATCCCCGGTGGATGCAAGATCCAATTTACTAGACAAGTAAGTTTCTTTCTACTTGTCCAGTCCTCAGCAGTGTTGCTTTGTGATACTTGTGCGTTCTAATTAGATCTGCTTTCAGTGTGGATATGAGAATGAATTGTGTTTGTTCAATCGGTAGGAGGTAGAGAATCAGGTGTGGTGGGAGCTTTCGCTTTTTATCAGACAAGCAGCAAGATAGATTCTTCACTGCAGCTTCACTTCAAAGGTTCTTCTTTGCACTGCCATTATTGCACTGCCCGTACAAGTGGAAAGTCTGATGCTTGCTTTAGGTTCTTCGTTAAATGTGCTTCTGATAGCTAATGAAAGGAATATTTAGTTCATGGCAGAATACTTTTGCGATATATGATGCAATGTTCAGGTTTTTCTTTCCTCATCCTTTGTGTTTAGCATGGTGTCAGCATTACTGTCAGATGTCATCATGAAAAAGCCAGCCTACAGGTTTTTGATTCAAACAACATCATCTTGGATGGACAAGACCCGTGATGTGATCTTTGAGAAAGAAAGATGTTGATATCATATCATTTGGTATACAAAATATAGGTTGAAAGAATAGTATAATGTTGCAGAAACTAGAAACACAACTCAAGAATGTGAAGCAAACCACCCAAAGCTCACCTTGGCTCATCATTTTAACTTGTTGTGGAAGACCTTGCTGACCCTTTAGATGCTGGAAGTTGTAGACATTGCCTTCGGGAAATGGAAGGCACCAACTAGGTCGACACTATGTTTAGCCCATCAGCGTATTATTGTGCAGCAAGGCTTGTGCTCTGTTACTAATCTGCTGTCAGAGAGACGGTGTGTTTGGGTCTCAGCTGTGTAAGATAACAAAGAGCAAACGGTATAATAGTGCAGTCAAATAAGTACAAGAGGAAAGAGATAAGGTAAAAATGGCCACTTGTAATCAATCTACTCAAATTTTGGGGAAAACTATCAAGCACAAGAGCGAGAAACACATTTCTTATAAGTCAGCTTCTCCAAAGTTGCCTACATCAACAGACTATCCTAGCTTTTATATCCAGTAAATGTAGCAGATCCACATTTTTTTTGGCTTTGTGCAACTTGAGTGCACCATCTAAATGCAAGTCTTAGGATGGACCTGAAGTTAATTCACATTCTTCCATTATGAGAATCATCATATGTTTCTTAGTACTTCCATCACAGTAATGAGTCTCAGTTGGTTTGGCAACCAAACATACAAGTAAATTTCGTGTTCTGACCAAAAAAACAATGCGTATGAGATGATGGCTGTGTCAGCAGAACTGGATGCAGTATGTAACTGCAGGCTGTACTCTTAAATGTTCTCACACCGTTTAGCTGAATTGCTATCCAGGAAATTAATAGAACCATGACATCAACATATGTGCTCTACCTCACTGATGGAAGATTTCTGCAACTTCATGACCTCATTGAGCTTCCCGATGAGTGAATGTCAATCTTCTTCTTATACAGTTGTTGAGACCATAAGACGAGAAAAGAACTACTATAACATTTTTACGATTTCAACAAGTATCATAAAGACATTGATACATCATGACTTCAATCCAACTTCTCAAGTGTTACATGGGATGCCACGATAGCTCAGATGAGAAAACCAAGTGAGGTGTTTAGGAGTATCCACAAGCTTGTCTTTTGATGAGCAAAAAGAAACAACATGTGTGGGGTTTGGCTGCGAGTGATCGCTTCTAACAAGGTTGCAGTGTTTATGATGAGCTCATCAGATGATTTCAACTGTGCAGAGAAAGAGGGAGATGAGGAAGACTGATTTTGTCAATTGTCTTTCTTTTCATGCTGGAGTTGGAAGTTCTGTATGTCTCAGGAGGTTTACTCTTCATTTCAAGCCTAGCATGTTCAACTTCTCAGTTTTCTAAATTTCCGAGTAATTTATAGTCTAAATTTATTGAACCAATGCTATTCGATAAACCTATTGAACTGGAAAGCCATCAATATATATTGATTTATGCCAACAGTATCATTGAATAAAAATGAATTAAATCATACCAAAAACAAAATCCCAAATCAATATTAACCTTCAAAAATTTTAGACATACCAATAAATAAACTTGGGAGAATAAAACAGTCGATGACGACCATCTTAACCTTAAAAATCAGTAAGAGGCCAAATAAAAAAATATGAAAAGAACTGGCCCATAAGTATACTCCAAATGAATATAT